TCTGTCAGACACTCGCCGTTGGTCTTGGGCAACCCGCTCTGCCTTCTCAGGGCTCCATCTTCTTTTTCTTTTGGTGTGTGTGTGTGTGGGGTTTGTGTGTGTGTGTGTGTGTGTGTGTGTGTGTGACAGAGGAATGCCCAGACATGAAGGGTCGTTTCCAATCGGTACTTCTAGCAGTTCTTTCGTGACAGAGCAGTTGAGGCCTGCGCTAGGTCAGCCCGGGGTCGCTGATGGGCAGTTCGAAGGGATGGGGTGAGGATATTGGGGTGAGGATATTGGGGGCACAACGAGTCTGTGGCTGAGACAGTAAAGAAGAACATTTGCAAGATCACGATCGTTCTTCCCCTGTTGTTTCCAGAAAGTCCAGCTTACGTGTGGCGATCCTAGGCGTTGCTGCGACGTCCCTACCCATCAGCCCGCACCCTAACCCAAAGCCACTGGTCTGAACCCACCTCTAATCCAACACCCTGACCTGGGAAGACACCTGGTATGGCTTTTGTGGTTAGAGGAGCCCAAGAAGGACCCCCCCACCCCCAAATCAAAACTTGCTGTCACTCCTAGCGACTCCATGGGGCAGGGGAGACCGGCCCCTGTGGGTTCTTGAGACAGTAGACCCCACTTTCTCCCACGGAGCAGCAGGTGGGTTTGCACTGTCTTTGTGGCTAGCAGCTCTGTCACTGGGGCCCAGGGATGCCCACTGCTGCCGCCTTCTGTGCCCACCTCAGGCCCTCGGAGCTTAGACTCCTGACTTGGCAGACTTGGAATTCCTGAAATTTGGGGTTTCGACTAGTTGTGAGAGGCTCCAACTCAGGTGGGCCAGGAGAGGCCAGGGAGCAGAGGGTTCCCCGACAGGTCTTTCACACGGGGAATGGCTCTAGCTCTGCTCTCTGCCAAGGGATTTCCCAGCTCCCCGAGGCCAAAGCTCCCCTCTGCTGCTTTGCTGACTGTCCCTGGAAGCGGGCCATTTTCCACCATCTAGGTGGCTGGACTCAGCAGTGCCTGGTCTGGGCTCTATGCCCTGTCCACACTACCCTTACCAGGCAGGCCTTTGCTCGGTCAGTCAGCAAGGCAGGGGGGCAGATGAGGGCTCCCATCGGCTTCCTCCTCAGCCCTGGGGCTGGAGGGAGAGTGATGGCAGGTGGAGAGCTAGCTGTCTATTCACCGGGGTCTGCTCAGGACTTCCTCTGCAGTGGTGCTGGGGACTCAACCTGCCTGCCTCCTACACCCCTGAGTGGTGACTCACCTTCCAGAGAAAAGGCTCTGAGCTCCCAAGTGAAGCTGCCGGGGACATGACTAAAGCACCTATCAAATGCAGTGTGGGGGACTGGCTACTTACTCAGCCTGGGCCAGACGGCCTCTCCGCCTGTCACCGCCCGCCCGAGTCAAGGGCAAGGGAGCTGCCACTCAGGCCGGCAGGTTTCATTTTCAGCTGAACTGAGCTCCACTGGAGCCTTGACATCCGGTGATCTATTTTTTCTAAAAACTAGGTTCACTTTAGAAATGACTCCTCACCCAGCAAGACAGCTTCCCCGCGAGAAAACAAAATGTTATTTAAAGGGAACGGCAGTCTGTGGGGAGCCTGGTATTTCTGAAACGGATTTTAAGTGGGAAAGACAAATCCCTGGCCACAGATCCAGAGGCCCCGAGCACGGTGCCAGGGAGAAGGTGACAAAGACTGAAGAGAGAAAGGGTATGAGCTGGAGGTGCCACGTGGTGGTGGGCACCTTCCCCTACAGACCCCAACCTGTCCCCCTGGCCCCCCAGTGAACGACAAATCCTGGCCGATTTATATTGGACAAGAGTCTCTGCCTCTTTTGCCGTTCTTCACCACATTCACACAAAGGCAGCCTCTAGGAAGGTGCCCGCCTCCAGCTCTGGCATAGATTTTGTGCCCGCGCTGTCCGATCACCACTCTGAACCAGACCAAACCCGGGCTCTTGGAGATCCGTTTGGAGCGTAGTGAGGGCAGTCGCCAACTGGAGTGGGTGTTAAACAAGGGTGCCCGATGCCAAACCGCTGGACCAGAGAAATGTCCTTGGGAGGCCACGGACCCCCTTGGAAAAATGACTCTTGGGCCATCAGACAGACACTGGCTGGCCGCATATCACAGAAACCGGAGGGCTAGTCAATGCGGCGATTGGCCACGGCCAGAAGAGCTCTGACCTGTACCAACATCAACAGTGACATGGACAGCCCCCTTGCCCTGAGACTGATGCCCATGCCAAGGTGCCAAGCTCAACACTTTACATCTAGTCCAGTGGTCCTCAACCTTCCTAATGCCCCGAGCCTTTCATACAGTTCCTCATGTGGTGGTGACCCCCGACCATAACGTTATTTTCATTGCTACTTCATCACTGTCATTTTGCTACTGTGATGAATCGGGCGACCCCTGTGAAAGGGTTGTTTGACGTGTCCCCCCCCAAAGGGGCCGCGACCCACAGGTTGAGAACCGCTGATCTATTCTAAAACAATTCCACGAAGAGTGTCTGACCCTGTTTCCAGACAAGGCCCCCCTCGCTTAGTGAGTGCGCCGATTTGCCGGATGTCACAGAGCTGGACAGAGGCAGAGGCTGGACTTGACCTAGGTATCTGGGGTGTAACGAAACCACCAAGTTGATACTGGCACACCCGGGACTTGAGCTATTGCTCTGAGCAAACTGGCCTTGGTTTCTGTATCTGCAACGCGGGGATCAAACATCGGTCCACGCTGCTTACGTTAAAAACGTCACGCGTGAGGCTGTGTGGCTTTCATCTTTATTCGCCGATGAGGGCAGCCACGGTTTAGTTCAGTCCGACATCGACATGTTGTGGGTGACGTGTTAGGCTGCTCGCCACAAGGTTAGCGGTTCTAGCCTACCAGCTGCTCTGCGGCAGAAAGGTGGGGCTTTCGGCTACCGTTCAGGTTTACAGCCTCAGAACCCCAGAGGGGCAATTCTGCTCCCTCCTAGGAAGGGTCCTGTGAGCTGGAATCAACTTGATGGCAATGAATCTGGTTATGGTTTGAGGGCCCAAAGAAGTCCCATCTTTTCTCTCCTTTCATAGGCAAGTCCGTAAGAGAGCCGCGGAGGAGCCGTGGAGACCAGGGGAGGCCACGATCGGTGGAGAGTCAGTGAAAACTAGAGGAAGCCTCAGCAAGCGAGGACAGACACAGCAACGCCACCAAAGCGCTGGCCACGGAAGAGGCACGGGAGCAGGCCACGTCTCACCACGAGTCGGAGGCGTGTCACTGGCCACTAACAGCAGCAGCTGTCAAGCAAAGTGGGTTCAGATTCTGGGCATGGCATGGATTTTGTGAGCTGTTATCTGGTCCACATTATCCCTTTTTTCTTTTTAAAGCCTTTTTTTAGGTTCCACTTTTCCGATCTCTGCCCTCCTTCTTATAAGCATCGTGAGAAGCACCGAAAAGAGCCATTGCTGTGGATGCCCTATCATTTCAAAGCATTTCTGTCCAGAGGATAATGAACCGAGGACCGCAGAGTAGCAGGAAGGAAGACCTAAACCAACCCACAAAACAAAAGCAAACACCTCCCCAAACCAAACTCCCGCCATCCAATCCATTCCAGGACCCTTTGAGTCGCATGCAAAGATTTAAGCACGGCCTCACTACAGGAAAAAAAAAAAAAAATCCTTTTCTTGGCATGGGCACTCAGGAGATAAGACAAGTCCCGAACTAAAGACCCCCATATCTAACAGACTCCCAGGGTCCACCAGCTCAAACTGAAGTGCTCTGCACTGCTGCCCCACGATGTCTGGCCTCCCCTTTCTCAGCTAAGTCAGCGTCACCACACCTTCACGCGTGCCTCATGGAAATGCTGCCTCTCTCGTCCTGGAAGCTCTCAGCCCTACCTGCTCCCCTCTAGGAGGGGATCTCAGGGTTGAGGGGCTGATTTCTCTTCACCATCCCCCAATTCACCGACCACAGCTTCCCCCTCCCCATCAATTTCACACTGGTACCATCAGAAGTGCCCCTAAGGCTCCAATGTTTCCAGTTTAACTGAAACACTAAAATGGGGCAAACAGGAAGCATCAGACACAACTGCGGTAGTGACTTATTAATCACGAAAGCAGAATTTTAGTTGCATTTTAACCTTTTGCTAGGAAAAAAAAAACACAGCTTTGAGACGAAGGGAGCCTTAGTAGAAATCTGCTGCCTGATCTCGGCTGAAGTTTATACTTTTTCCTTAGGAGGGAGTTAGATTTTTTTTAAAAAGATCTTTGAATGTCCCCTCCCCCAAAGAACACTTGTCAAGCCCACCAGCATGAATCTGTCAGCTCTCTCGGGTAGGCCTGGGAGAAAAATGCCCAGGTGGTGTTCATGGAGACAGGAAGGAAAATAGGAAATTAAAAGCAACTCCACAAGCCAACAAGGATGGAAACAGCCTTGGTGAAGCCGAGACCTCTTCAGCGTTTCCCCAGCTTTCTTCCCAGACCCTGGTCAGGGATGAACTGTTACCACTCATCCCCCCTCCCCACCCCCAGCCCCCAACAAAATCACAACAGCAACCTTGGGGTGACAACCCATCAGGCCCAGCCCGCTTCTCAGCAAACACTACAAGCAGATCACAAAGGAGTCAGTGTTCAACAGGAGAACCAAAATGAGGAACCAAATCTCCATCTGGTGAGGCGAAACGGCCAGGCCAGACATTTTTGTTTAATAGATGAAGGCTCATTTGGCAGGGTCTCTGATTGGGGTGTGGGTGTGTGTGCGCCACGCCCACAGACTCTACAGACCAAGAAAACCCCTTCGTAACTCCTCCTGAGGGTTGAAAACAGTTCGTGGATGGCCAAAAGCTTGGCAGCCGGCGGCTGTGTGCTTCCACGAAAGTGCTGAACCGTATACCTTCTTACTTCTAAAATGAAAGGCAGGGACGATGGCTTTTATTTTAAGAACTTCTGAGAAGGCCACCACACCCTTTAAAAATAAATAAGGATGTCCTAAAGGTGTTTGAAAAACTTCGAGGTCTGGTATCACTGAACCAAAGCAACTGGCTTGGATATCATTTGCAAAACGCCAACAGGTGAGTCCAAACGCACCCTAAGTAAGGTACCTTTTAGGGGCTTCTCACCCCTGAAGAGCATAAATACCATCCCTCTCCTTCCTGCATCCCAGTCCTGGAGTGTGGTCCTGGTCCAGGGGAAGGTGCGTGGGGGAAACATTCAAGGCCCTTGCTCAAGCTCCCCATCCTTAGTCCTCTGCATAGGAGGCAGAAGGCAGTATATAACACACACACACACACACCCCAGTTGCCTCATCTACAAAACGGATCTTGCTACAAGGATGTCTAAAGGAACAAAGAGATTCAGGTATAGAGATACTTAGTAAAGTAAAAAAGGTATCACACAAGCTAGGACAAGAAGCACCCTTTAGTCTTTAGGGAGGAGCACATTCAACTCAGCACGGAGAGGGAAACCCTTTTCTGAAGTTACTGAGCCCCAGGGAGACTCTTGGGCAGGTGTGTGTGTGGGGGGAATCTCTGTCCCGTTCAAGTGGCCTCTTTCTGCCTGGTGTCCCTGTGGGCTACAAGTCTACAAGTTGTCAGGGTCACAATGGGCTTCCAAGATGTGCCTATTATAGGTGACCCTGCAGGTAAGAACGTCCTGGGTGGAGAGGACAGAACAGCGGGGCCGGAGGAAGGCGGGAGGATGCTTCTATGGTCAGCGCTGCCCCACTGGGTGCCAAGGGCAGGCGCTGCTCTTGCTCCACGCCTCCGGGTGTGACCCGAGAACTTCCCAGGCCGGCCGGGACAGTTTCAGTAGCCAGGGGAGGTGGGAAGGCGCACGGGTCGGGCACTTCTGCATGAGACACCTTGCGCCCATGCCGAGGCCAGCCCCGATCCTGGGGGGTGTGGGTGGGGAGGGGTACTCAGGGAGCGGCACGGGAGCCCCGCCTGGCATCTGAGCGCGTGGAAGAGCGGGTGTTGGGGAAAGGGAAGCAGGGCGCCCCTGCGTGCGCCGGGGCGAGCGTGTGGCCTGGGGAGCGCGGGGACTGGAGGCCAGGGCCGAGCACGGCGTGCGACGGTGGCCCTGGCAGCGCGCGTAAGGGCGCACAGGCGGCCAGCCCCGAGGGCCCAGGGCCGGCGCGCGGTTGGGTCCA